CCATTTAGGCTAAACCAATTTAATTTGTTGCTTCTCGGATCGCCCTGTCCTTTTTTTTCTGATTCGCAAAAAAAAAAAAATGGGAGGTTCTAAATCAACTGCAATATGTTCAATGAAAGACATACTTTGGCCCCAACGGTTGAAAAAAGGCCTTTTCTTCATAGTTCTCATACCCCTTTTTCAATGTAACAATGCAATTTTCATCAAAATCTATACAGTTTTAATTATAAACCAGCCTGGTATGTTGACTTCATGGCTCATATTGTAGCATTTCTGGCCATCATGGGGTGCCTTGGCCTGTTTTTTTTTTTTCTGTCGCTCCTGATTTTTTTTTCTGAAAAAATCCAAGAAACAACAAATTAAATTTGTGTGGCCTCAACAACATTACATCGCACACAAGCACTGCAGATAGAGAAACACTGTCTACAACTTTTGGGACTACAGACCGTTTGTCTAGAAAGTTCAGTCTTTTGAGAAGTTTGATTCTACAGGTTATGAAGTATAGTATGAAGTTATGTAATCTCCAAGCAGATCCTATGGTGGCAAAAAGACAGTATCAAATTGGCCAGGCAGTATCCATTGGCCAGAGAGTCCATACGCCACCTAAGGGTGTCTTATTTGCCACGATAGGATCTATCATTCATTCTTTAAGCCACACCAATCTAATTTGTTGGTTCTCAGATTTTTTTCTGATAAAATGTGAAGCGACAGGGCGAAAAAGAAAAATACAAACAAGTCTAGGCATCCTATATAGCCCCAAATGCTACGATAGGAGCCATGAAGTCAACACAAAAGGCTGGGTTAAAATTTAAACAATGAATTATAGGGGTCCAACTTATACTATACAGTTTAACAAAGTAAAAGTTGTGTGAGGACACTTTTATTTTCAATGTCATTTCATCACTCAGGTGTCAGATCATGGAGCTAGAAAAGGTTGATCAGCTCGAAAAATTGATCAGCTCGAAAAATTGATCAGCTCAAAATATCAAATTTATGTCCCTTGCATGCAGGCCTAGGGGTTCACCACAGCCAAAAAAGTCTAGGGTCGGCAGCTAGTTTTTCTACTAAATTCTAGGGTCGCAGATATTTCTAGGGTCAGTCGGGAAACAGGAAACACAATATTTTTTTCCTAGGCCAGGCAGTAGGCTGTGTGTGATGTTAGAAAGGGAGGAATTGAGTTATTGAATCAGCAAAACCAAAAATAATAAATATAGTTTTGTTTTACTGATTTCTGGACTTGTAGGAATACTAACCTTCTGTTGCAAAATTCAGGTCTCGTGTCATGTTGATCTGGTAAAGTTTGACGGCGATGTTTTATGCTGGCAGACTTTATTTGATGAGCTTGAGACTAGGCCTGGATTTTGGAGCAGGAGGTTTGAATTGTTGCAAGTACGTAAACAGTGGTAACAAAAGTTTGAAGGTTTCTATCACTGCATGACAAAACACAATTCCTCTCTTTCTGTATGTTCTTACCCTGGGTGCCAGACTTGTTTCGGGCTGCTAGCCGTTTCCCTTCGGCAGCCAGAAGCCCTTCACCCGCCTGTGTAAATTACCGCTACGGGCTAGACTTTACTTAGCGGTAATTTAGACAGACGGGCAAAGGGCTTCTGGCTGCGGAAGGGAAACGTCCCGAAACAAGTCTGGCACCCAGGGTAGTATGTTCTATGCTTCCACTTCTTGTCCCTGGGCTTAGCCTGGAGGAGGAACTTCTGTCCCAGGGTTCAAACTTACACATGCCTCGAGTCTGCGTAGTAGACTTGTTGACGGACAACTTTGTCCGTCATCAGGCCTACTACGCTAACGGAGAGGGGCTTTGTGTATTTTTGTTACCCTGGCCCAGAGGTTTTCTCCTCCAGGCTTTGACGCTAGGTTTGGCTGCTTGATATGTATGTAGGCCTGTCACACTTTTCCAACACTTTGGACCCTAACAATTAAATTTCCAAACACTCAAATTTCCCACCAAAAAAACTTGAGACCTTCACTTAGTTAATTGTGTAAAAACTTTTGTCAAAAAACACTGAAAAATTTTTCCTATTGTATAGTTGAATGCCAAATTGCCCCCAAAATAGTCGATTTAGACCAATCTTTGCGCTTAAATTCTCCCGCCAAAAAAAAAATAACTTAGACCCTCACCTGTGTAATTAATTGGATTAAAGTTTCCCGCCAAAAAACTTAGTATATAGAGCACTCTAACCTTGAACTTGTGCCCCCCTCCCCACTCTTCCTGCCCACCTCCCACACTTCTTCCACAACTCAGAGTATGTCAGATACACTGTTCTCTTGACTTCTTCACACATGTAGTCACCACACTCTGCTGCACAAACACTTGGTTTATCGAGTGCAGTTTTTCCACCACTTAGACTTTAGAATAATCTCCCGCTCTCCTGGTCGGTCAATGCACTAAGTGTACTCCCCGAGGGATGTCTTTCCGGAGACATTGATGCTTCGACACATCAGTATACCAGTGCAATTGACTGACCAGGAGAGCGAGAGATTATTCTAAAGTCTTAGTGGTGCAAGAACTGCACTCGATAAACCAAGTGTTTGTGCAGCAGAGTGTGGTGACTACATGTGTGAAGAAGTCAAGAGAACAGTGTATCTGACATACTCTGAGTTGTGGAAGAAGTGTGGGAGGTGGGCAGGAAGAGTGGGGAGGGGGGCACAAGTTCAAGGTTAGAGTGCTCTATATACTAAGTTTTTTGGCGGGAAAACTTTAATCCAATTAATTAAACAGGTGAGGGTCCCAATTCCTTTTTTTTGGTGGGAAAATGGACTTAACAAGAATAAGACTGTGTGGAATTGAAGAGGAAAGGTCCGAATCAATGATTTTGGGGGCAATTTGGCATTCAAAGAGGATAACAACGTGGAATTAATGCGGCCGGCTAGGATACGAAGTTTTTCGGTGGGAGAATTTAAGAGGAAAGGTCCAAAGCTACGATTTTGGGGGCAATTTGGCATTCATACGATACAAAGAGGAATTAATGCGGCCGGCAAAGTTTTTTCTGCGGGAGAATTTAAGAGGAAAGGTCCAAATGTACGATTTTGGGGGCAATTTGGCATTCAAACGATACAAAGAGGATAACAACGTGGAATTAATGCGGCCGGCTAGGATACGAAGTTTTTCGGCGGGAGAATTGAAGAGGAAAGGTCCAAATCTACGATTTTGGGGACAATTTGGCATTCATACGATACGAAGAGGATAACAACGTGGAATTAATGCGGCCGGCTAAGTTACAAAGTTTTTTCGGCAGGAGAATTGAAGAGGAAAGGTCCAAATCTACGATTTCGGGGGCAATTTGGCATTCAAACGATACGAAGAGGATAACAAGGTGGAATTAAAGTTTTTCGGGGGGAAAATTTAAGTGTAAAGGTGCGAAGCAACAATTTTGGGGCAATTTAGCATTCAACTATACAATAGGAAGAATTTTTCAGTGTTGCTTGTTGTGGAATTGAAGTTGCCGGCTACAATTAATGTTAAATGGCTCCTGACGAAAAAAAAGAGAGAAATGCGAGTGCAAGTGTGTTGTCTCATGTTAATAAAAAAAACATACTCACACCTCCCAATCTTCTTTACACAGGTTGAGATCTGCTGACAAAAGTCTGGTCCTTCTTCCTGCTACGGTCCAGTCTCTGGATCATCCACAATGTCATCTTGAAAACAAAAACAAAAGTCATCAGTGTATTGTAAAAAGCTATTGGCCTTAGAATCAAAGCTCTTTTATGTTCGTAAAATCCATAGTTATATAATTTTTGTCGACCATCAAATGTGGAGCACACATAAAAAGGGCAACAATATGCTGCCTGTCTACATCATTTTTTCACACAAATGAATGTAAGGGTCTGACTTACTTGTAGAAATTCTTCTTTTCCCGCAGTGACTCGTGCAGTCAACAGGTTTGCTGAGCTTATCTGGTTTGGACTGGAGTCGCCGGTCATCACTGGTTTCTCCCAGTCAGGACAGCTGACCCTTAGGACATGCCTCATGATACTAAAGTATAAAACAAAAACATTTCTCGTCAACACTGAACGACCACAAAAGATATTAAAATTGCACAGTATTCCTTTGCTTGAATAATATGTAGACTGTATTTAGGCTAGGAAGTGTTTAAAATGTATTACTACTTGTGTATTATCCCAGCAGTTCTTAACAAATAACAGATAACATAAACATGTAAGTTGAAAAACATTGTCTCTTCTGTCTGAACTGGCGCACATCAGCGACTGGGTTCAAGCTAACAGACTATTATAAAATGCTGACAAAACAAAGTTCATAGTCTTTGGAAGTCGTCACAAACTAAAACACAAACCAACCCTACGTACAACATCCGATGCATAACAAGGTGATCGAACAGGTTGACCAGGCAAAGCTACTTGGATTATTAATGGATCAGCAGATAACCTTGTCCCTCGCCAAAGACGAGCAGAGTGGAGAAGACTTGCTGCCCAATGTGCCTTGCACGGGAGGAACTAAGTCTAAGTAAAGATAACCTTGGCTCAACACCTTGACAAAGTTAAATCTGCTCTGGCAGCACTGGCAAGGTCTCGCGACTTCCTCACAGGCAACACGGTAAAAATGGCCACTCAAACACTTGTCCTGAGTCACTCTGAATATCGTTCTTGCCTGCTATCTTCTAGTTCTTAATCCAACCTGAATGGTTTGCATATTCTACAAAACAAGGTGGCTAGGCCTGTGTGAATTATACTGCCTACAACACAATAATGTTTTTTTTTTTTTCACTGGGGAACGTACATAAAAATTGTAAAAAGCCAGACTTTCTTCTGATCCAAAACTTTTTGTCTTGAAAGAAACAAGTCTAAGGTAATTGTTTTGTAAGTTGAAAAGCATTGTCTCACCTGTAAAATCTCTTCATTCCACCAGTCTTCAAGTCAACCAGTCTTCTCAGCCCTCATCTGGTCTGGTTTGGACAGGAGTCGCTGGTCATCACAGGTTTCTCCCAGTCAGGACAGGAACATCAGGACAGCTGACACTCAGGACACACCTACCGATATGAACAGATGGTTACTGTGATGCAACACTGAATGACCATTAAAGATAGACTAAGTGACAAAATTGCACAATTGGGCAATCCCTTTCGTTGAATAGATGTACAAAATCCGAGGCTCTAGAAAGTTGTTATCTATCGCTACATGCCTCAGAATTGTGAAATGCCTAAGAAAAATATAGCTTGTAAATTGAGAACAATTGCCTCACCTGTACAAACTCACTGTGTCTTCAGGTCATCTGATTTGCTGGTCTGGACTGGAGAGAAGTTGCCGGTCACCAGGTTTCTCAGAACACGAACATCTGGTCTTGTCGGGTTTAGAGTCATCACTGCAGTCAACTGCATCAGTCAGCAGTCACCTAGCTACATAGACATTATTACAAAGTTACATGCTTGTCTCAATTAGCAACAAGAGAACTACTACTGGTACAATTTAGATTTCAAGTTCTCACCTGATATTCCTCTTGGGTCTTCAAATCATCTGGTCTGGTCCAATCTTCTCTTGTCAGGTTCAGACAGGAGTCCCCACTACTGCATCAGTCAGCAGCCACCTAACTATACAGACATTACAAGTTACACACTTGTCTCAAATAACACCAAATAGTTGTAGGTAAAATGCAGAATTCAGATTTTTCTCACCTGCCCCAATACTCCTATGTGTATCTGATCACCTGGTGCCTCTGTCATCACAAGTCTCATCCCATCAGTACTGAACACCTGCACAGGTTGCTGACCCTCAGAGCACAGCTCACTACAGGATTCTATGATCGAAAAGAAGAAAAAGTATCAGCTTAGGCTACAGCTCATTTTACCAGCTTAAAAAATTAAATCTAGATCGTGACAACCAGGAAGCGAAAAAAAAAGACAATGAACACAACTTCACAAGCAAGATATAAAACACATGGTCCTACTTCTATACACAGTCTGTTTATGAGAGTCACAATACAAGAGAAATTGCGAGGTAAAAAAGTTCTTATACTGTGGATATGAAATCTGAAACTACATTTTTGGAGTAGGGGAGTCAGAGAAAATGGGACAGCAAGAAAACAAGAACCATATTACAAGCATGCATTTGACAGACAATGTAAGGATTTTATAATCTATTATAGTTTGTTTTATTCTTCTACTGCTACAGTTTAGATATTTTCACCAATGTTTACTGAGTGTCTTAAAGCCAGCAATGCACACACACACACCTAATAAATTTTGACTTAAAAACAAACAAATACCTCAACAAAAACTGTACATAATGACCATAAAAAACGGGGATATCAACAAAAATAAATAAATCAAACCCCTTCAACTGAAACTTAAAGTGGAATACATATAATAAATGTTTTGAAAACAGCATGGTCAACTGTAGTGTTTGCGCCACAAATACTTGGGCCTTGGTCATTACTGAAATAGTCGAAAATTGAAACGAACAAGCTTTCAAATCATACATTCATTTGCAAATGATAATGAAGAAAGAAAGTACATCCACTGGACTTAAGTTTCCAAACGTTTTATACAGTATTCATTTCGGCACATTGAAGCTTTGAAGATCTCATCTTGTTCACGCGAGTTTTTGGCGGGATCATCAAAAAATCTAATTATGTAACACGGCCACATTCCAACAGGTGCTTTGAACCACGTGGCGCTCCACGTGGAGATAAAGGAAAAATTTCTTTCAACAAATATACCATCAAAACGCTGAACAATTGACAAAAAAGACATGCACATATATTAACACTCTACAAGCGCACCGCACATTGAAAATGTTGTTGAAAACGCGGCAACTTGATAGACTTTTTGAAAGCCTGGCTAAAACTAGGAACGGTCGCTCTCGAATACAAAACTAGGCCATTTCTTACGGAATATAACACTGTAAACTTGACAAGTTCGTACTACTATTGCTAGGGAATGATGTCAGCCAAAAAAATTGCTGGTTTACCTGCAACAATACTTGTAAGCGAAGTCGTCTCCATGCCACGCTACTCTTCCAAACTGTCTCGCCATTTTGTTTTCTGTCTTCTCCGAAATTCTCCAGGTCAGGAAATCCGCATTTTCTCTTCGAAACATCACCAGAACGGCACAAATCCACGGCTGAAACTTCCCAACATTCTGCTGCACACTTCGTGAAACATTCTACCGACGAGAACACTAAAAAGTAACCAAAAACTTAAAAGAAAATCAGACCAGAATATTCCCGCCAACATCAACTATCCGCCATGTTGGATGGACGTGCCCACTTGTGTGGGAGGGGTGGGCAGGGTCAAATTGTGACTCCTGATTATCAGTTGAATGTAGCAGAACAGTTTTTGTCTTATAAGCACCACTTAGACACGGTAAAATTATAGTAGGGTGCACTAAAGAAACATGGTATCATATTGAAATTTCCGGTAAAGTATAGCATGGCCATGGGTTGGTTGGTTAGTTTTATTCACAATTTAATATAGAAGAGAAGTCCGAAACATAACGGTGCAATAGAGAAAAACAAATTTACGTTAAAATCTGTTTTTTGTTGTTTTTTTTAATTTCTTTTATTCGCAAGAGAAAACCAGGGAGGTCGGAAGATGGAGATCGGCCAAATCGACTCAAACTTTGCATGCGAGATAGGTATGGGGAACTATGAACAGCCATATATTTAAAACCCTCCAGATATTTTTCATTATGGAGATCTGGGACCCCCCTGCGAGAGCCTCCGAAATCAGGTAATCGCTGAAAATTACTGAACTTACGATGACTGCACTGATGATTCTGATAAAGCTATGGATAAAACGTTTATATTACCACATTGCATAGCTTTTCTATAGCTAGTTTTACATACCCAAAGTTCAAGAGGACACCTAGAAGCTGTGAGGGTGTGACAGGGGGCTACCGGAACCAATGAAAGCAGAATTTTCATCTCTATGCATTTTAGTCATCTTTAAGGCGCATTATCTCATATGGGCAGTGGCTTTGGTGAATGGTTTCACTGTGGTTTGAGAGAGGAACATCTACTGATTCAAAAACAAGCGTCGTTGGTTTGGGCCATACATAACGCGAGCCGTGACTGAGGGGTCTTTATGGGGGATTTTCGGGTTTTGGACTATACTAAATCGGGCAATGACTTCTCACTACTGGGTACGTTAGGGCCAATGTGGGCATGTCAATGTGTGATAATCTTTAGACAATTATGGAAGAAGCTTTCATGAATTAGGAATGTTGATTTGGGCTCTATATGGAGGATATGGGTATACCTGTAAATGGCACTAGGCTAATTTTACACATTTCTATTGCTTTCTGTTAGCTGTATTTTAGTATGTTTTTAGGCTTTTTCACCGGGGTTTCTTTTTTTTTTCACTGGGATTTTTTTCACCCAACCCAACCAAAACAAAAAAGTTAAGTGCAAAAAAGGAAACCCTGATACAAAAAAGTCTAAAAAAACACGCCAAAAATAACCCAAACCTCTGCTTGGAGAGTATGCAAGGGCAAGATAATTCACCTTTGTCACTTTTTCACTCTCACTCACAAAATCGCTCACATAAGCTCACATTTTAAATACCTTCAGTCAGTTACTCAGTCACCTATATTAGCGCCATCTAGCAGTTCACACAAGAAATGCAGGACTTAAGGTATTCAACAACCTGCAACAACGCCTGTAAAGCAGTATATTGTACTGAGTGCGTCTACCCTGTATAAAGAAGACAGAAATAAATAAATAAATAAATACAAATTAATTCTTTTTATTCTGTAAGCCTTATCACGTCATTGAAGTTTTTTTTTTCCTTTTTTGTATTCAACAAATTCTTATTATACCTTATCATGACATTGAAGTTTTTTTTTCTTCTTTTTTTTGTATTCAACAAATTCTTTTTATTCTGCAAGCCTTATCATGTCATTGAAGTTTTTTTTTCTTTTTTGTATTCAACAAATTCTTTTTATTATACCTTATCATGACATTGAAGTTTTTTTTCTTCTTTTCTGTATTCAACAAATTCTTTTTCTTACACGGAGAAAGATTTCTTCCCTGAAGGCCACGGATTTTTTCTTTGTGGAAGAAGTTACAAGAAAAA